ATTTTTGTTAATCAGTTGTATAAATGATGTCCGGGATGCGGATTCAGGAACAGCAGGACTGAAATTTTAAGACTAATGCTAATAAAAATGAAAAGAAAAAGGATGTACAATTTCCAAGAATTTTTTTTTAGCAATTTTTCTCTCAGCAAAGGTTCATTGGCTACATAATATTTCAAGAAATCTGTTGTATATTGTGAAGTCTCCATGGGTGAAATGCAATTTATTCATGTCAATTAAGTGTGAAAAAAGATTTGCATCACATGCAAATTATATGTCAGCAAAGGCTGTTACTCAGAGCCACTTGAGTGCATGAAAAATGGGTCTTTTTTGCTAAAAGTGTTCAAATTCTGGTGGTTAATAATTCTGTATGTCTATATTTTTGAAAATGAAACACGTATATGTTGCCGAAAACACAGGAAGTAGAGTACAGTAAGTATTGCCAAGCTGTTTCTTTAAAATTTCTGGGCTTTACAAGTAGATTGGGATCCAGTTTTAGTAAATATGTGATAAATATGAATATGAACAAATCCTTGGATTAAAGATGAATTCTAGATATAAAAAGCTTACTCTGAGGAAGAAAAGATGAACTGTAATTGTTGTTTAAGGGAATAAATCATCTTAGATGAATATCTTGAAATGACAAAAAACAATTGATTTACTTTTACTGCCAGAGGTGCTTGTGGAATTGTCTGTTCATGTGCCAAAATAACTTCACTGACTTGATCCCTATCCACATTGATTTGAGTGGAATGCAGCTCTCGTCTCCTGGGCAGCAAAATATCTAGGATCATTCATGAATACCAGAACCAGCATCCTGTAGATCTCAGGATAGTATTCTGAGGATTATAGGTTGAGAATTTAGATTGAATATCTTGGTAGTAATACACAAGTGTGTAAATAAGCAAAGGAAAACAGAACACTGCTTTAAAAAGTGAATTTACTGTCATAGATTATAAAGAATCCACCCTGTATTTGATACTAAACTGCTCAGTCTTGCCTTAATAATTGGGCTCTTGTTCCAATTTTGGTTTTAACTTTTGACAAAATATCCAAAATCAGCATAATCAATTGAACAGATTGAATAAACCGCCCACAGACAATATGCTTACTTTCATCCTTTGATAAAGATTTCTAATCAGAGTGATCCTAACGGCAGGTGACTCTTGTTAATGCTAGAAGGCCTATTATGAGAATTGAAGTTCTACATATCTGAAGACCAGCTGGTAGAACAAGTCCCATCTAGGTTTCTTTACAAGAAATGGGAGAAAATATTTATTTGCTTTTAGATGCATAGGAAAAAAACTATCTAAGTTCATTGCTCCTCTTCAAACCTCTTATATTTTAGTCAGATATAGCTGATCAAAAATGCAAATTGTTTTTCAGAAAAATAAAAAGATTTCCAAGCAGGGTACTATGAAGCAAATCTAAAGTAAACATTATAAAACTGATAGATACAGACAGGCAGGCAGATAGACAGACAGACAGATGGACGGACGGATATTACACAAGGTAATTACTTTCAAAGTACTGTTGTCAAATGATATCTCTTATTTGTTTGGGGCAATTACGCTCCCTTTGTTGTCCAGGCTAGATTATAGGAAAGAATATGGTAATTCTTCAGCTAGTTAATACCCTAAAATGAATTTAAAACAAGAAACAAACAAAATTGCCACCTCACTCTTAGTGATGATACAATAATTGCTTCTGACAACAACAGCAGCAAAAAGTTTTTTGGTCATACAATAGTAAATTCTAACAGTTTGATTCTATTGGAAAGCTACTGCTCAGAAATTCTGTTGAGATTCTATTTTTTAAATAAATATATTATTGTACTAAGCACACACTAATAAGTAAGAAGTAGATTTTATTTAACACAATGAGACCTCTGAGTAAGTATGCATAAGATAGTCCCCGATAGTTCACAATTGGGAAAGAAATTTATGTGACTGGAATTGATTTTATGACCATTTTTACTGTGGTTATTAAGTGAATCATGCAAGCAGTCATTAAGTGATTCTGATTTCCCCAATCAACTTTGCTTGTCAGACAGTTGTAAATCACAATCATATGACTGCAAGATGCTGCAACCACTGTAAATGTGAATTGGTTGCCTAATGCCCAAATTATGATCACGTGACTGTGAGGGGGGGGGTTTAACTTAGAGGAAGGTCATAAGTCACTTTTTCTGAAACTTTGAAAAACTGTTAAACAGTCATAAGTCAAGGACCATTTGTAATAAGAAATATGGTTGTTCATTAAAAAAGCCAATTGTTTTACTGTTAGAACAACCCTCTGCCAGGAGAAATTTGCCCTAAAATTAGTGTCTTTTTTAGCATTTTGCCTAACAAAAAATGGAATCAGCTGCCAAGGAGTTACTCCCATACATCTGCAAGCGAAGGTATAAAATGTTTCTCAATATTATATTGCTGTATGAAGATTAAAAAAATTAATTACAGTAACTTAGGCCCAAAACCAAAATAAATGCAAAAGAATTTCTTCATTCCTGTATCTTCAAACAATTAGCAATATATACTTAGAAATATTTAAAATAAAGTCAAAAATTAGCAGCCAACGTTCCAGAACAGCTCGATAGTCCTACACATGATTTCATGGTCTTTTATTTAACACTGGAGAATAAGCAGCAGATGGAACATTACTATCTGAGATCCACCTTGATCTGGAAGACCTTTCAAAGGCTGATAAAGTTTAGATGCTGTTTCCATGCATTTTTGCTTCTCTGCCAAGTCTGATTCATTACTTCAAAAATAGTTCTTTCTTACGTCCCAAGATCAACATCCATCAACAGTAAACAGATCTGAATCAAAACTATTGGACCAATAGCACAATTTGTTAATCAGATAAAAAACACAATGGCTTTAGGCTTTTAAATTAAAATTAAAATTTAAAATACTGGGTGGGGGATGGAAGCAAGACATTAGTAACTTCAGATTTTGGTAAACTAAATCATTTTCATCTCTTACAATTGAGATATTTCAGATACATTCAAATATTTGGATACACCATTGGTGCCAATGTCAGCTTTTTTGACATGAGAATTGATGAAAAAGGGGGAAATGGTTGCTGACTATTGGAATATGTACTAAATATAAATATACTAAATATAAATATATTAAATATAGTATTGAGAGCTATATTTAATCTTAATAATATTATAGTCAATAAATTTCTATTTGGACCATCTTTTCTAAAGGAATCTTTTTTACAAGTGTAACACAATCCTATGTGTGTAATTTGGAAGTAAATTCTATTTTGTTCCATGTGGGTTACTCTCCAATTAACAGCATTAGTTATTATAACTTTAGTTCATATCTTTTTTCGCTATGTTCTTTTACTGCACATTTCAGTATCATTTTGCTGCAAGCTATCAAGAACTGTATTTTTTTCCTGTCTCTACTTGCTTAAGTCCAACCTAGAGCATCTTTCAAAGACTTAGGCCCTACGTTTGACAGAACATGGCACTAATTTACCAAAGGAGCAATTAAACCAAGCTTTTGACAATTAAGACTAAAGAACAAAAGGTAACATTTAATGTACCTGATGGCTTCAACAATTTCAAGAGCTGATGGTATTGAAATAATAATGGTGCATAGTTGACCATTATCTTATAAGTTAACAATAACTATTTTAGATTATGTTGAAAATGATGCAATTTTCAATTAATCTCTTTTCTTTTCAATAATTACTGGTTTTATTACAATTTTATTTATTTGAAAAAAGATAGTTATTTATCACTATAATTGTGGTTGGGTTTCTAGAGATAGCACACCAGAAAAAAATCTTTACTGACATCTGCTTGCAATGTATTTCAGAGTAAATATAAGCAGCGATATTTCTGAGGGTTTTCTTAGTTGACATTTTTTTTCCATATGAAGACATTGGTTATAATTACTACGAGTGTGTCTCTGGGTGAGAGAAAGTGTGTGTGTTGTCTCTGTACGTGTGTGAGAGAGAGGGGGGAGGGAGAGAGAGAGAAAAAAAAAGAAAAAGAGAGAGAGAGAGAGAGAGAATGATCTGTAAAGGCTGATATCATGGATTCAATTGCAATTTTTTTTAGTGGAACTGGAAGGATTCTCTATAAGTATGTATTTTCTCATTGCAAGAGATACTAAAGGTCCAATGATTGTGATTATTTTGTAGTATGTCATAAAAGCTTATAAAAATGTTGTTTAATGCTAAAAAGTAAATGTGGATGGTCAAAGCCCTCTCTGTACTTTTCATCAACTTATCTTGATTCCATCCATGCATTTTTCATATTTTTATCTCAAACCTGTACTGAGAAGTATGCCACCATTGTAAAATAAGACAATATTGACAAAAATATTGCAATAAACAGGACCTTTTATACAGCTCAGGAACAATTCAGTAAAAATTTCTGCATTACATTACCCAGTACACAAAGAAACTATATAAACAATGACTTCTTCTGATTTCAAATCTTGTGCATGTAAAAGTAGCATGTAGCAATTTTCAAAATTATGTGATTAGAATGCTATGAAACATTTTAGAAACAAAACAGCCCCATATTTAATTTTAAATTAATTTGTATAGCCATTGTAATCAAAGGATCCTCTTGACTAAGCTAAGAGTAACCTACAAGTGTTACCCATCAATGTTGAAGTTTAGGTTGAACTCCAAATTAGTAAATGTGGTTGTCACTAACTCAGCTTATACAGGAGGAACAAGAAAAAAGTGCCATTCTTTCATTCACAACCCTCCCCTCCCTTATCACCTTTGAAAAGGAGAGGGAATCTGCACAGGTATTCTCCTCTGCATCCCCTAGTTAACCCAACTGTTGCAGAACTATGAATTGCAGATCAGAGCAGAGAACAGCTACAGCTACTCAAAGACGACAATGACTGAAATTCCATTGGCCAGTTACCTCTACACATTTTTAAGGATTCATGTAGGAAGGCGAAGAAGGATTTCAGCAACGGGGTGGAGAAGAAAGAGGTGACTCATCAGGAACTGCTGGTCCTTACCTTTAAGATCAGATCCGTGTGATGTTGGTCCAGCATGTTCGCCTTGATAAAGGATGTGATGATGACTCTGCCGTATCTCCCTGGGGTTTGCAGGTCGGAATACAGCCGGTGCTTGGACCGGTTCACCGGGAAGAGGCTATTGACCAGGTTCCTCTCGATCTTGGCCAGGCTGTGTTTGGGGGCCAGCAGGTGTTCCACGCTCTCCTCGATCTGGTACTTGCTGAAACTGGCCCCCAGCAAGATGGAGATGAGCACGGGCGCAGAGGCGAAGAAGACCGGGTGGCTGGCAACGAAGTGGCCGAGTCTGGCGAAAGACGTTCTCAGCCCCCTGTGCAAGACCTGCCGCAACATTCTAGTGCAGAAGCAGCTCAGGAGGGCGAGGTGCGCACGACGGAATCTGAAGCTCTCCCAGAGCCCAGGCAAAACCATCGGGGAGCCCAGGCAGACGGGAGCTTCCCCTGCGGGCTGAAATTGACCGAGCAGGAAACCCGCACCCCCCCCTCTTTCTGCGCGGTGGGTGCTAAAGCTCTTCGCCTCCCTCCAGGCTGCTGAAGGGAGTTTCCCGCCGCCTCATTGTCTGACTTTAAACAACAACAGATATTCCGAAAGGGAGGAGGGCGGGAGCAAAAAATAAAATCAAAATAAAAAAATCAAAAAGAAATCAAACATCGGGGTGGGGGGGTTTGCTGGTCAGTGAGGAAGCCAAGATCTCATTGGTGGCAACACCTATTTCTTTTCTTCACTTCTTATGGTGGCAGCTCTTTCTGCCAAACCAAGTGGGTGGGTGAGGATTGTTTACCCGGGAAAGATATGGGGGAATACAGAAGGTGGCGGGGGGGCGGGCGGCGGTTTGTCGGTAGACACACTTGCTGACTAACTCAGTAAAGCACAGAAGAGAAGCTCCCGAGAAAACCCTGAGGCTACGGCTGATTACAAACCTGCAGAACTGAATGGGTGGTTTTCCTCCCCCACCCGCGCCTCGAATCGAGGCCAGAAAAGAGACTCGCCCCTGCCTCAGCCACAAACCCCGAAAGTGGGAGAGGTGGGCCGTTTCAAAGCCCTCGCCGCCACTAAGACTGCGCCGGAGTTCAGGGGCAGTTTCTTTGCCGGCTTTTTCATGACAGTTATTGAGCTGTACGAGAGGCTGGTGGCTCAGAACGGGCGACTAAGCGGAGCAGCGCCTTCTCGCCCCATCTTCCCAGACTCATTTCCGGCACTGGGCTCTGGAGGGTCGCACCGGATTAATATTAAACAAGAGAAGCCAATCCTACCCCCTCCCACAGTGGGGGCAATTTAGCTGGAAGCCCCGGTTGCTGACTGTCAATTACCAGTGGCCAATCCCTTAAAAGGAGCTTCCTTGATCCTCGTTCGGGGTTGCAGTTTCAAGGAACCTATCCCGCAATTGGGATGGCTGTAAATTGTTATTACTTAAAAAAAAAAAAAAAAAACCACGACCGGATCCTCCTTCAGGTGAGGTCCAGGTCAGCGCCGCCGGCATGTCCCATCCAAGCGAAATAGCTGCTGCCCACCAGTGTCGGAAGATCACCCAGGGAAAGCGGGCAGCGACCATCCAACGGATTCCTGATGCATGGCAAAGTTTTCGAGTCTCACCTTTGAAGCAGTCCCCGAAGAAGCCCGTTTGGGAGAGGTGGGCTTATCCGCACACAAGTCAACGTGACTCCCATTGTTTCCCGACCGGAGCAGCGCAGAGATAGAGTTTGGTGTATTTCATTGGTTTCAAGCGATTGCTCTTCTTTGTCAACGCATGGTGAGGATTCGGCGGTTTAAATGCCGGGGATCAGAAACGTCTGGGCAATTCCACGAATTCCCCTCTCTGACTTCCCTCCCACTTGCTTCTCTCGCTTGCTCCATCTGTTTGTCTTCTGCTCCCCACCCCCTCTTCTTTTCGCACTGATTCTGTCTGCCTCGCTCTTTCGGTGCGACGCGGGCTCAGTGGTCTTGCTGGTGCGAAACTGCCCAATCTCTTGCCTCAATGAGCATGTGCGAATGCTTTGCACATGCCCATTAACAAGGTGACGCCGCACAGAAGCCGGTGCCCTTAACCTTTTGCCCGGAGCTTGCCTAAAATCCCCCCTTTTCCCTCCAAGGAGGGAGAATGGAAGTTAGTACTTGTGCAGATGAGCGCTTCTGTACCCGGTCCAAAAGCAATGCAGTAGAAATGGGGGCTTGACAATTACCAAACAAGTAATACTGTTACTATTACTACTATATTATAGAAAGTCAGTCTCTACCCCTCCTAGATGAATGAAATATTTTGGGAAATATTAAAAGAGGCAGAATATTGTATTTTCCCAAACGGAAAAATGGAAAAACATGTTTTTATAGACAGAAAGCAGCCCCCCACTTTCCTTAATAGCCCACAGCAGATGTCAGCACTTAAGAGATAAAGAGCTTATTGAAAGAGGAAGACAAGTATCTAGATAGCTCTATTCATAGGCAAAGCAAATACTGCAAGCAGAAACCCATTCAAGACAGGATATTGTGATGACCCAGGGTGGGATAGAAAACAAACAGTCACAGAAAACAGGTGAAGCTCCTTTTATTCCTTCACTTTGCTTCCAAGCTCCGAATATCTTTGACAGAAGACAAAAAACTCCCACACAAACAGTTACACGAAGAAGGAAAAAAGCAACAAAAACCAGGCAAGATAAGGGCTGGAGGATGTCCACAGATAACACCCTGGGAAGGATGCCAAACTCAGAGAGGAACTATAAACTAGAGATATTTCCACGCTTTATTTCCAGTGTTCGCCCATACGCAGGTCCATACTCTTATTCAGTTGTCACAGCTGCAGCCCATGAAGAGGATCAAGGCCCTCTCCTCCTGAATAGACCACGTCTCTCCCTTATCCTCTCCTCCCTGTGTTCCCTAGGATGAACGGGATGACTGCTCAGCTGGCCTCTGCCCTTCCCCTCCTCCACAACCTCTGGAGCCACACTTCCACTCCAGTGATGGGATTCAAATTTTTTTACTACTGGTTCTGTGGGCGTGGCTTGGTGGGTGGGCAGGGGAAGGATACTGTAAAATCTCCAGTCAGAGGTGGTATTTGCCAATTCTCTGAACTACTCAAAATTTCTGCTACCGGCTCTCCAGAACTGGTCAGAACCTGCTGAATACCACCTCTGTTCCACTCCCTGTCGGCTGTTCCTCCTCTCCCTCAGTCTCCACCAGGGGCATGACAGATATTTTGAAACTCCCTTCAGCAAAGCCTGAACAAAGGCAGAATGGTAGGATTAGAAGCAGCCTCCTCACTCAAGATCCAAAACAGAAGGAAAGCCATTAAGCCACAGTAGGAATTCCCCAACACCCTTTCAGAACACAAGCCTCTTCATTGCATCATCATTGCAGTAGTCCAAACTCCACCTGAGAGCTCAGATAAACAATAAACCAGCGGTTGACCAGATTAGCTCAGACAAACACCCAGGATTTGAATTTCTTCTTTTTCCTATAGAGCCAGCTATGCCCTACATGACCCCATAGAAATCTGACAACAGCGAATAGAATACATGTTCTTGCACAGGAACAGGAAGCTCAAGTGCAATGCCCAAAGACGGTATAACCTCCTTCCTCACTCTCAACTCCATTTTGTCAGCTGTTAGAACCACAAACTCTGGTGGTTCTGCTTCATCAATAAATGGGCCCTCTTTCCAATCAGCCTCCAGCCTCTATTTTATTTCCAGTGTCTTCCTCCTGGCTTAAAACTGAACCAGATGGATACTTCTTCCCACAATTTGCCACCCCAAGATGGGACTCCAAGCTAATGTGATCAACGGACCTGGCCGGGTAAGCCTCCCTTGCTGGCAACAGACCCATTGTGGGTGGGTTCCCCCGGACCGTGGCTGTTTGGAACAAGGGTAGTAAAGGGAGTTTTGAGTGTTGAGCTCAAAGTCTGCTTGGAAAGAAGGTGAGTACCTCTAAATTTTAACATTAAAGCCCAGAAAAGTGAGGGAGATGTATGTATGCGTGAGTGAGATGACCCTTCTCCCAATCACAGCTGGATCCTGCTCCCTCTGTGTCTTTCCTAACCGCAGAAAGATCTGTTCTACCAATGGAGCCTGGAGAGCATGGGGGATTTACCAGAGCACAGGACCTTCTGTTAGGGAGAAAGAAGAGGCTGTGTGAAAATGTTATGGAAAAATGAATGAGAGAGCTGAATTTGGGCAGCCAGCTGGGAAGTCACTGAGCAAAGCCCTGTGTTAGGAGGTGCCTGTACTCATCTGCTTAGGAAAAGCAGCAGGTCCTCCCAGACCTCCGAGGGTCTGAAAACTGATGGCTATTTTAGGAGGTGCAGCAGGTCCTCCCACTTTCCCCCCTTGAAAACTGACAGGCTGTATTCCCTATAAAGGAGGTGACCATACTCTCTGAGGGAACCAGAGTCCTCCTGGATGCTTTTTCTTTTTGTCCAAAAACTGACAGGCTGGAGGAAAAAAACAATAATGGAAATCATGGAGGAACTAAAACAGCGTGTAATAGCAACAGCAAAAAAATTGAAAGATACAAAGGATGAATAAAACAATGTCGTGAAAATGCCCAGTTCAGAAGAAACCAACATCTCTTCTACTGGTCACTTGATGAAAGTTGAGCCCAAACTAATGTTCACCCAGGTAAAGAAAAAACTTCAAACTTTTGGAAACAACTGTGGGAAAACCCAGTGGAACATGACAAAACTGGCTCCTGGATCAAATATATTCAAAAACAAGCAACAAGAAACAAAATGGAGAATATAACAACCGATATGGCTTCAAAACAAGAATGTCAAGAACTAGAGTGCACCTTGCCTGGATGAATTGCATGGATACTGGCTAAAACATTTGACCAGTCCCCATCACCTGATGGCCACCCAATTGTTGAAATGCTTTAAAATGCAACAGGTTAGCAGATGGTTGAACATACTTGATAATGAAAGATCCAGAAAAGAGTACAGAACCAAGCAACTACCACCCAATCACTTGTCTGCCAACAACTTTCAAACTTTTTACAAGAATACTGGCAAATTTAGTATTCAATCATTTGATGGAAAACAGTTTGTATCCGGTAGAACAAAAAGAAAATTATAAAAAATCAAGAGGAACAAAAGATCAGCTGCTCATTGACAAAATGGTACTAAAAATGCAAAACAAAGAACAAATTTAAGTATGGTGTGGATAGATTACAAGAAGACATTTAACTCATTACCCTACAGCTGAATTAACACCTGTCTAGAAAACTTTGGAATCAGCAAAAATATTTGTACATTTTGAAAGCAAATATGAAAAAATGGAAAACAGTTCTAACAGCAAATAGGGAGAACATTGGTGAAGTCAACATCAGATGACAACATGGCAAGTTAA